TAAACATACAACAGAAGTACATTCCCCATCACTTTGATCTCCTTGTCTTATTGCTCTAGCTAGAACTTCAAGTACAATATGGAGAGAGTGGACAGCCTTGTCTTGTCCTGATTTTAGAGGAAACGCTTTGAGTTTCTCTCCATTTAGTTTGATGTTGGCTATTGGTTTGTTGTTCATGAGGATATTGGTCTGTAGTTCTCTTTTTTAGTTATATCTTTGTGTGGCTTGGGTATCAAAGTGATTGTAGCCTCATAAAAAGAGTTTGGCAATGTCCCTTCTGCTTCTATTGTGTGGAACAATTTGAGGAGTACTGGGATTAGCTCTTTTAAATTTCTGGTAGAATTCTGCAGTGCAGCCCTCTGGCCCTGGGCTTGTTTTGGTTGGGCGGCTTTTGATGCCTGCTTCTATTGCATTAGGGATTATAGGTCGATTTAAACTGCTTATCTGTTCTTGGTTTAATTTTGGTAAGTAATATCTGTCCAGAAAATTGTCCATTTCCTTTAGATTTTCAAATTTTATGGAGTACAGGTTTTCAAAGTATGACCTGATGATTCTCTGGATTTCCTCAGTGTCCATTGTTATATCCCCCTTTTCGTTTCTGATTTTGTTAAGTAGCATGCTCTCTCTCTCTGCCTTTTGGTTAGTTTGGATAGAGGTTTGTCTATCTTGTTGATCTTCTCAAAGAACCAACTCTTCGTTTCATTGATTCTTTGTAATGTTTTCCTAGTTTCTACTTTATTGATTTCAGCCCTCAGTTTGATTATTTCCTGGCATCTACTCCTCTGTGGTGAGTTTGCTTCTTTTTGCTCTAAAGCTTTCAGTTGTTCTGTCAATTCTCTAGTGTGACTATTCTCCAGTTTCTTCATGTGGGCACTTAGTGCTATGAACTTTCCTCTTAGCACTGCTTTCAGAGTGTCCCATAAGTTTGGGTATGTTGTGTCTACATTCTCATTAATTCTAGGAAGTCTTTAATTTCTTTTTTTATTTCTTCTTCGACCCAGGAATGGTGCAATGGGGGTTATTCAATTTCCATGAGTTTTTAGGTTTTTTGCAATTTGTATTGCTGTTGAATTCTAACTTTAAAGCATGGTGATCTGATAAGATACAGGGGGTATTTCAATTCTTTTGGATTTGTGGAGGTTTGCTTTGTTTCCAACTATGTGGTCAATTTTAGAGAAGGTTCCATGTGGTGCTGAGAAGAAGGTATATTCTTTTGTGTTTGGATGGAATGTTCTATAGATATCTGCTAAATCCAGTTGGTCATAACTTTTGTTAGATCCTTTGTTTCTTTGTTAAGTTTCTGCCTAGTGATGAAAGCGGGGTGTTGAAGTCTCCTACTATAAGTGTGTGTGGTTTGAGCTTTAGTAATGTTTCTTTTACAAATGTGGGTGCCTTCGTATTTGGGGCATAGATGTTCAGGATTGAGACTTCATCTTGATGGACTTTTCCTGTGATGAGTATGAAATGCCCTTCTTCATCTCTTTTGATTGATCTTAGTTTGAAGTCTAATTTGTTATATATTAGGATTGCTATACCAGCTTGTTTCTTGGCTCCATTTGATCTGAAAATCTTTTCCCAACCCTTTACTCTGAGGTAACGCCTGTCTTTGAAGTTGAGGTGTGTTTCTTGTATACACCAGAAGGATGGATTCTGTCTTCGAATCCATTCTGTTAGCCTGTATCTTTTTATGGGCAGGTTAAGACCATTGACATTGAGGGATGTTAATGTTCTTGTTTGTTTTGGATTTATTGTTGGTGGTGTCATTGTGTGTAGGTTTCACCCTCTTGTTTCTTTTCGTGTTTGGTAAAATTGGATTATCTATTGCCTATGTTTTTGTGAATGTAGTTATCTTCATTTGGTTGGAGTTTTCCTTCAAGAACTTTCTGTCGTTCTGGATTTGTGGATATGTCTCTTTCAATTCTGGTTTTTGTTATGGAATATCTTGTTTTCTCCATCTATAGTGATTGAAAGTTTTGCTGGGTACAGTAGTCTGGGTTGGCATCCATGCTCCCTTAGTATTTCTAGGATATTTATCCAGGACATTCTGGCTTTTAAAGTTTCCATTGAGAAGTCAGGTGTGATTCTGATAGGTCTGCCTTTATATGTTACTTGGCCTTTTTCCTTTGCTACTCTTAATATTTTCTCTTTATTCTGTAGGTTTGGTGTTTTGATTATGATGTGTCAGGGGGACTTCTTTTTGTGGTACAGTCTGTTTAGTGTTCTGTAAGCTTCTTGTACTTTCATAGGCATATCCTTCTGTAGGTTGGGGAAGTTTTCTTCTATGATTTTGTTGAATATGTTTTCTGTACCTTTGACCTGTATTTCTTCACCTTCTTCTAAACCTATCATTCTTAGGTTTGGCCTTTTCACCGTGTACCATATTTCCTGGATATTTTGTGTTAGGGATTTGTTGGACTTGAGATTTTCTTTGGACGATGACTGTATATCCTCCAGAGAGGAAAAAATAACTAAGATTCTCTCTTCCATCTCTTGAATTCTATTGGTTATACTCACATCTTTAGTTCCTGATCGTTTATCCAGCCTCTCCTCATTCTGTGTTTTCTTTATTGTTTCTATTTCAGCTTTCATGCCTTGAACTGTTTCGAGTGCTTCCTTCACTTGGTTGGTTGTTTTTTCTTGAATTTTTTGATTTGTGTTTTCCTCCACTTCATATAATTTTTTGCTTGTTTTTTCTTCTATTTCTTTAATGGATTTTCTTGTTTCCTTTTTAAAGATCTCTATCATCTTCCTAAGATAATTTTTGAGGTCCATCTCTTCTTCATCCTCTGTGTTAGGCTTTTCAGATCTTGCTGGTGTCATATTGGTCTTTCTGTTGCTGAGTGTGTTCTTATTCAGTCTTCTTTCCATGTCTTCTTCCAGTGGGTGCAGGTGGGGTCTCTCTATCTCCTCTTGTCACCTGTTGGTGTGTGTGGGCCAAGACTTCAATGTCTGCAGCTCTGGATGGTCTTGCCTCTCCTGGTAGTCTCCTCACTGTGTAAGGGTCGGGCCGGCGGCGGCAGAAAGGGGAAGGAAGAGTGACGTGTTTCCAGACTCAAGGAGTTCCTCCCTGCTTGGGCGGGGGCATTCTAAGCAGACGCAGGCCCAGAGAGATCGGGTGAATGGGAAGTTGGGTAGGAATAGGACAGGAGCAGAGGGTACATTCACCTCAGTAGGGGTCAGGCCAGCAGAGCAACACTGACTTTTGGCTTTAAAACATGTTAAGACTCCTCAAAAACTATGGAGCCTTTTGGAGTTGCATTCTGCATTATGATATGGCCATGACCCAATAGGAACCAGGGAGTGGAAAGTAGTGGTTTGCATGAAATGTCTCCCATACTCTTAGGCATTTGAGGACTTGATTTCCCTGTTTGGGGAGGCTCATGAGGTGTGATCTTGGTGGAATATGTGTGAGCTTTGAGAGTTCAAAGCCTCGAACCATTCTAAGTTGTCCTCTGTTCAGTGGCTTGTGTTATGAAGTGTGGGCTCTCAGTTGTTCAAGCCACCATGCCTGCCTACTGCCATGCTTCCCCACCATAATGGATGATGATAGACTCTTATCCCTCTAGAAGGATAAGGATAACACCCACCCCCACCAAAACCTTCCTTCTTTAAGTTGCCTTGGTTACAGTGTTTCATCATAGCAATGAAAAAGTAACTAAACACCATCCATGTAAAACTGATAGGAAAATCCAACTAGTGTGTGTGTGATGAGTCTTGTTCAAGCTGTGGGTTCCAGTGGATAGAAGCTGCCTGTCTGTGGCTTTTCATAATAGTCACACAACATGTGTATAATGGATGAGTGCATGTATTTCTATGTCTGCTTCCAGGGACAGACAGAGTTGTGGAGATACTTTCAAGGTGATGAGAGGACATAAGCTGCTACTTTTGAAAACATCAAAACTTTATCAAACACATAAAACCTTGGTCCTCCATGCAGGCTGCACTAGAGTTCTAATAAGGTGGTCAACCTCAGCATGTTTTCTCTTATGCTTTGTAGGAAGCACCAGTCTCCTCCCAGGGTAGTCTTGTAGCACACGCCTCAGGGTTAATCCTCTGCAGGAAATCCCAGAGTGTACATGGTCCCAAACTCACTGGCCCTCTAGAGTGACTTCTGTTTAGAACAAACTGATGATGTTGAGTCTGAGGTTGACGGTTGTCCCAAAGAAAGACATGTTCAAATCCTAAGCATTAGTGTCTCAGGATGTGGCCCTATTTGAAAATAATCTTTACAGATGCTTCTGGGTAGCCCTCATCCTGGGGTCCTTACAAGAAAAGACATCAAGGCAGGACAGTTGGGGAATACAGCAATGAGTCTGCAAGACATGAAACACCCAGAGTTGTTCTGGAAGAGCCTGTGGAGGGGCATTGTACTCTGACACCTTCATTATGCTTCTGGCCTCCAGAACAGAAAGGAAACCAGGTTCTATTCTTAGGCTCTCAGCTTGTGGTGATTCCTTGTGGCAGCCATGAAAAATGCATATGGGAAAAGTAAGAATAAGATCCCCATGATTCACTGAGACATAGAGAAAGGGCATAGTGTCTGCCATCCATTACCTTCCACAAGCACAGTTTGCCCTGCACACTGCCGGGTCCATAGTAACAGTCAGAGTCTTCACACTGTGACGCAGGAAAGGCAAGTTCAATGAATCATACTTGTGTGGAAAGGGCAGTGAGTGGAGGCTAGGTGGGGGCATGAATGACAGAATAAGCAGAGACATAGGTAGAGCACAAGCCAAAGTGATACAGCTGGACCATGAGCCACAGGAGCTGGAGAGCTAGGCTGGGCCACAGAACCAGTGCTGAGGTGCTTTGTAGGTGACTTAAAAGCACAGGGAGTATGAGGTGACAATACAGCTGGGAAGGTGGCAAGACACTGATGTTCTTGAAACCAGTGGTGAACATAAGTGGTATTTGGCCTGGAAAAGAAGGCTCTGCTGCATGGGGCTGGGGACATAGATTCTTTATTTTCCCCTACTAATGACTGTGCTTTGTTCCTGTAGATGTTAATGAGTGTGCAGATTTGACACACCCACCTTGCCACCCCTCTGCAAAGTGCAAGAACACCAAGGGAAGCTTCCAGTGTGTGTGCACAGACCCCTATGTGCTAGGTGAGGATGAAAAGACCTGCATAGGTGAGTGGCCCCTTGCAATGTCTGTTAGCTGGTTTCTTTAAAATAAGAAAAATACTATATGTGAGGTTATCAAAATTGAGGTATTTTTCCAAGGGTGCTCCAAACTTTCCCAGGTGCCAAACTGAGCCTCACCCCACCTAGTGAGTAGACAAGGAGAACCCAGAGAAATTCAGGGAATGGCACCCTGTCAGCTTTCAACATTATGTATGAAACACCCTTTAGATGCAAATCATGCTACAGAATGTGTACAGCAGGATTTGAGGCCGCTTCTGTTTGCATTTACCCTTGTAAATCCAAGATAGTTAATTCAGGAAGAAACCTACCACAGTGAACCATGAGATCCTGAAGACAGCATCCTAATTCCCTATAGTCCCACCAACATTGCTAACCTAGTTTTATCCCATGAGGCAGCTTCAAGGGCCCAGAATAAAACTCCTGAGGCTGTCAATCAGCTAAAGGGCACCTGCCCACAATTGTGATGTTTATTTGGTCCAGGATGTCTTCAACATTCCCTTCTGAATGCTTAGCCCTGAAATCAGAAAACAGCTGAAGACAGAATTTCTTCATTTGATTTGTTATCACCAAAAAGCACATATTCCAGAAACATGCATGATGGACAGTGGCTCTTGCAAGTGTAGGGCTGAAGGTCTTAACCAGGGTTGAAATTGATCTTTGTGCAGGGTGTGAAACCTCCAGAATGACAAAGGATTCATAGCGCTGAGCTTGGAGCTGAGCAGGGTACACTAGCCAAGTCTGGAGACTCTACAGTCATGTGCAGGCTGAGGCACAGTGGGTGGAATGCCAAATCCAAGCTGGGGAAGGGTAGAGAGGTGTTGGTATGGCAGCTCCTAGGAAAGAAACATAGAGGCTGTCTAGATAGTTTTCACTTGACATACTGCCAAATGTAAACCCCAGGGGTCAGCTATAAGAAATACCAGTGTTCCCAGCTTTCAAGAGGGTGAAACCTTAAGAGATGTTTAGATCTTAAATAGAGAGAACAGCTGGGGTGCAGGTCCCTGTTGGAAAACCAGTACAAGATAACAGGCATCAACGCTTCTTCTCTCACTCAGAATCATCCCTAGCCGGCACTGACCTAACCCCCTGCAGCCTCTTGCTGGGACTAGTCCTCATAGCTTTAGGGGCATGGCACCTTTTACAGTGATGGACACAGTACAGTCTGTGACATTGTGACATTTAAAAGCCAGCTCTCTGCTGGAGGATTTCTAACATTTCCAGGGTGCTAGTGATGAGCAGCTGGCAGAAGAGTCAATAACAAGTTTGTGATAGCGGGGACTTGGAGAAAAGGCCACTGGCCACAGACTGACAGCTCCTTGCAGGAAGTCAGTGGATTTAGAACTCGGCAGGAACACAGAAGACATGAGAGCAGCACCTGCTCAGACTCCAGTATCAGTTGTTTCAGGCCCCGGGCTAGAGTGGTCCAAGGGTTCTGCCTTTTGATTTCTAATTCCCAGTGAATGGTTCAATTTATCTCTAGGTTGGAAAGATCGCTGGGAAATTTGTCACCTGTCCCTAGGTTCCCCCAAAAGTTCTAACTGCACAGAGCTTCAGTCAGCCTTCCTGGACCCCAGCTGAATCTCACTATCTTTGCAGATCCCAAATGCACATGAATATAGTTGTCCTGTCCCATCTGATTCCTTTAGGAGCCTTAAGCAGCTCAGGAAGCTCACTGTCTGTCATCCAAGATGAGAAAGGAAGGACATCCCTCCCAGCCCTGGAACTGTAGCAGTCACAAGACCTGAACCTCTCTCCCAGTGAAAGGACCAGACCCCACCAGCTCTCCCCACCTCTGATTCATCCAGGGAAGAATATATTATCTAAAAATCTTTCCCTCCACGATTTGCTGTAGGAGCCAGGCAGGTAGAGATCCATAGCCTTGCTGACCAGATCTGCTAACTTACATCCTCCTCTACAGATTCTGGCAGGCTACCTCGGGCATCCTGGGTCTCCATTGCACTGGGAGCACTCCTCATTGGTGGTTTGGCGAGTCTCACCTGGACTGTAATTTGCAGATGGTAAGTCCCTCCTTCTGCCCATTTCCTATACAGGGCAGCCTCTCCTCTGGGTATGGCTCTTCCCAAAGCTCCCTTATTATGAGGGCAGTTGAGGCCCCCATCCTACTTATCACAGACCACCCTACGACAGACTAGACTATCAGGTGTGATTTAGATAATAATGGTGGGTCAGGTGATGTAGGGCCAGAAAAGAGCTGGCCTTATTCAGTGGGTAGGACCCTATAGAGTGTCGTGGGAACCAGTCAGGATGCAGCTGTGGTGTCTGAGTAAGCAAGATTAGACCCCCCCAAATAATAGGGTGGGGGACTGGCACACACCCATATTGTGCAGAGAATCACATAGGTTTTCCTGGGAAACTGGGGCATTATGGGAAGATCTTTGACTAAGCAGCTCACAAGTATCCCAAGTCTCTGGCCATGGTGACCACTAGCTTGAATTAGATCAAGTGTCAGGTTTTTACCTCTCCCATTCTCCATCCCTTCCTCTTCTACTCCCCATAACCCGCATACATCTTCCCCCTCCATCCTGTCTCTAGAAGAAAGACTTCCTTTCACATTCATAGCATTCTTTCCCAAGCACACACATAGTTAACCACAGCTTGCTCATCCTGCTTCCCTTGGGTGAAGATATTTACACAGTAAAAGTAGTGATTGGTAGCCTGTTTTAGGTTCTCCAGAGTCCAGGACTACTTCCTACTTTATTTTCTTGGGAAGGCATTTCTTTAAACCATGGTCACCAGTCTCCCAGAAACCTGTTATTTTGTTGTAAGAGAGCTAGAGGGATTGTGCACATGACAAAATTTCTACTGGAGAGAAATGTACAGACAGAGGCAGCCCAAGGTCCATGGACAGAAGAAAAAATGACTCAAGAGTCACATAACAAATGCATAGGGGCGGAGAACCATCAGGTGGATAGGCTGTGTGATGTGCCAGTAATGTAGCCTTACATGTCTACAGGACAGCTTGTAAGCCTACAGCTGCAGCAAACATGACAGGCCATTAAAAAGAATATGAGCAGTGTGTAGCAACACATCTCCTTACAGGCATTGCAATTTGATTAACACATTTCTTTTTTATAATTAAAAGCATGAGCTGGGTGGTAGTGGAGCATGACTTCAATCCCAGTCTGGTATACAGAGTGAGTTCCAGGACAGCCAGGTCTACACAGTGAAATGAAACCCTGTCTTAAAAAACAAAACAAAACACATTAAAAACGTGATAAATTAAATGAAGCAGGGTCAGGCGTGGATGCAGCTTTCACAAGCTATGAGGAATGACTTTTCTAGCCATTGTGCCCTGGGATGCCTCCTGACACTGCAAAAACCACAGGCTCTATTCTCCACTGACTCGTCTGGAGTTATATGCTACCAGTTAATGACCTGAGTGACTTCCCTGACTTTAAGTCCAGGGAGGTGGTTGCTCTTTCTGTGACTTTGTGCAGCTACTGTGGAGAAGGATGCACACAGGCCCTGGAATGCTCTTCTAAGTTCTAATAGCAATGACTAGATGGGTGTTTATCTACAGGACATATTCTGATAGAAAATCCACATTGCTGATCACGGAGGGAAATGCAAGAGTGACAACCCAGCCAGGATTAAAAAACAGTCAGGAGAGAGGGATTTCACCACACAAGGCTACAGCTGAAGACACCGGACAGGTAGTATGTTTGTCTCCCCAGTCCCAGGGATGTCACCAGGGATGTCACTAAGACTGTCAGCTGTTCTTGTAACTGTGCACAGGTGCCCTCCGTGCAACTATTCAATATGCACCTCTGTTCAATTCCATACTTCCCTCATGCTGTGTTTCTTTCTTTCTCGAACCAATTATGTTTATAAAAGACTGATAATTTGTCAAAAATTGAACCTACTTTTTAAAAAGTACAGGCAAGTTAGAATTATTAACTGTCAAATCCAAAAGAAACTCTGAGACAAGTGGCTAACCGTGGTGCCTATTAGCATACCAAAGTGCATGCTACCCTCCAAACCCTCTCAGAATAGCAAGTACCCACTACAGAGTCCATACTGGCATCTGAGCTCTTCTTACTCCATCTCCTAAACTTCTCCAGCTCATGAGCTTCCCTTCTGCCTAGCCTCTCATTCCTATAAAATCCTGCCACTTCAGCCATGTGCCCTCTGGGTCTTCTCTTTCTTGGTCTCCCTTTTTCACTCACTCCTTCCATGACCATGTTTAGTCTACTACTTTCTCTCCATGTTCTGGACTCTTCCTCATATTTACAGTTTAAAAAAAAAATCCTTCAACCATACCTGTCCAAGTGGCTCAGCCACTCCTAACCAAACCAAACTACAGATTTGATTCTCCTAAAATATATGGGAATCATTTGTTTCTGCTGGCTTCTGTCACCCGCCATATTTGACTCCAAATTCTAGAGTCTGCTACACCCTCCTGGGTGCCTACCATGTGGGCATCTCTCTGCTAAGACAACTTACCCTTCTCACTCTATTTTCCTAATGCTGTGATCCTTTAATACAGGTCCCCCAACCATAAAATTATTTCATTGCTACTTCATAACTGTAATTTTGCTACTATAATGAATTGTAAATATCTTATATGTGACCCCCAACCCTCCCTTTTCCTAAAAACTTCTCCCAGTCCTCCTCTTCAGCTGCTTTATCTTCTCCCTGCTCTTACCACTCATCTCTCTTCTACTGGGTAAGTATCAGCCCAGAGCTGCCAGCTCTGTCTGTTGTTATTGCAAAAATCACACCGGTGTGCCAGGATGCTCTCACCTCACAAAACAGGTTTCAATGTGACTTTTTATTATTGCTTTAAAGAAACTAGCTTTTGCATGGCAGTTCTTAGTAATTAACCACCTGTGTCTCATGGCAAATGATCAGATGGAATGAAAAGGTTTCAACTTCACCTAAGTTGTGAGGTTCAGAGAAAGTAATTCAAGGCTTGTAAAGGTCTGAGGATGTGAAAGCTTAAGTAAGTCGTGAGGGTCTAAAGAAAGTGATTTTAGGGTGAATGTTTCACATTTCATTCCCTCTCACTATGCTATTGTTCTGTTCAGAGTTTTAATGTTAATCAAGTTCTGATAAGCTGTTAATCTGGCTCTGGTAGAGCACTGACAACTGTTATCATAGTCGCATCTCAAAATTTGAATTTCCCTTGGTTGTATAGACTTTAGAAAGCTTCTCATCATGCTGAACACATTTCTGTCGAATCTGTAAGTCTAGCCCTCTTGACAGAGGAAAAGGTGTTTGTTACTTAAACCCCAAACCTTAAGTTCTGCTATGACTCAAAGACATGAGGCTATTCCAGCTCAACTGGAACTTACACTTACAGTGTGGATTTCTGTGTATCATTACAAACCATCGTAATGATAATGTATCAAAAACTTACATCTCTTTTGTAATCTCAAAATTCATGTAAGCTTCAGGGAGTCATGACTTGGATCCATCTGAGTCTGTTAGACCTGTGATGACAATCGGTAAGCTAGGTTTCCCACCTGCCTATTCATGAATGTTCTCTCTCTCATTCCTATATAACCCTGACATTTGTGCCCTCCTCTCTCACCCCATGACCTGGTTCATTCTACTGTCCATGTTTAGTCTACTACTTTTTCTTCCTGTTCTGAACTCTTCCAGATGTCTCTGGCTGTGCTCTCCCTCATATCTACAATGCTGACCTTCCTCTAAACCATACCTTGGAGCAGTCATTCCCTCACTTTATAAATCTGGTACCCAAATTCCCACTTTATACAGTAACCCGGAGTAAAAGATGTTTACAAACCAGTTTCAAAACTGCAGGAAAATGTTTTAGCATTTGCTTCAACATTATCTGAGTTATTAGTTGGAGGAAATAAAGAAGGAAAAACTGATTTTTAAATGGCTTTGGGGACTGGAGAGATGGCTACATGGCTAATAATGCAGTTCCATGCATATATGTGATGCAGCTCACAAATGTCTGTAACTCTAGCTCCAGGAAATCTGAAGCTTTCTTCCAGCCTCTGCAGCCACCCCCACAGAGACATGCACAAGAATAAAAATGACCAAAAATAACCTTACAACCAGCATGGGGAAATCAGTATAAATTTGATTTTTTTTACCTCCTACCTTATGTGCTCCCCAGATGATGTTCTTTATAGGTCATGTATGACATAGGTTTGGCCTGAGTTTCTGGACGCAGATAGCAAGTGACAATACCCAGCATCTCAGATGGGTGAAGCTTCAACACGACAGGAAGGCTGCTCCCCAGAATGTGACCACAGCCCTGTTATTATGTCTCAGAGTTTTTGAAAAACAGGTGTACAAAATGTTCTCACTATAAGAATACTATGTGTGTGAGGTGGCAGGTTAGTTAATTAGCTGAACATACTTATTCCACAACTCCAGCACACATGAAAACAATTGGGGTTTTCAATACAACTACATTGGATTACCTTCCAATTAAAAATAAAATAGGGCCAGAGACATGGCTCAACAGGTAAAGGTACTTGTATCATGCGTTTTGATCTCCAGGACTCAGATGGTAGAGGGAGAGAACCAACTCCCACACATTTTACTTTAAAGTCAGCTATCACATGAGGAGCCTGTCTGGAATGACCATCTTCATCCTAATCACTGCTGGGGGGAGCCACAGTACCCCCATTGCTTAGGGTGAGTAGAGACACCCAAGGTTCATTGTAAAGCTAGATGTGGCTTGAACCTGCCTCCTGAGAATCACCCTGCTGGAAGTGAGGGCTTTGCTCAGCTAAATGCAAATGGCACCTTTGAGTTTAAATTCACAACTCAATGGTTTGATTGGGGACAATGCTCACCATGCCTTCTCTCCAGCAGGAACCTGCCTACGGATCCCGGGTCCTCCTGTGTGAGTAGAAGTCCTCTCTGCTTTGGAGACAGGCATTGACAAATGCAGGTCTCAAGCTGCATGGAAAAGACATGACCCATGTTGGATTCAGAGGCTTGAGGAAGCAGGATGGTTAATCTCATTGACAGCCCTAAGCCAGAATTACTTCTATCTCACATTTTTCCATGGAAGCATCCAGGCCAGATTGAGAGAAGCAGAGAAGCTGGCATAGACTCCAGATCCTTCAAGACAATTGATGTTCATTCAGAATCACCAAGACTCATCTCTAAATTTATCCATTTCTCTCCTTATGTTCCAGTCACCACAAAGCACAGATGAATAAATGCTACAACCTTATCCTGGTCTGGCACAGACATCTTCCTCCCCTGGGCTTGCATTAGAAACATATTTATAGATTACATATCTTTATAAGCTGTGGAAACATTATTTCACCTTAACCATCTTAGCTTTTTCATTAACACTCATTCTCCATCTTTGTCTGCCATGTACTACTGTAACAGACATTTGGCATGATAAAGTCATAGAGAGATAAACTTTGTTTTCTGCTCATGATTCTGGAAGTTTTGGTCTGTGAATGATAGGTAAGACAGAACACTATGGTACGATCACATTGTGCAGCAAAGTTGTTCAACTTAAGGATGAAACACAAAATATAAAAGCAAGGGAAAGGTCTGAAGACCCCACAGTCCACTTTAAGGGCCTGTGTCCAATGATCTTCCCATTAGGCCTAGCTCTTAGGGGTTCCACCACCTAACTATAAAGTGGGTGCAGCCACTGTTGATAGTACTGTGGAAGGTTCTCTGATATCTACAACTAGAATTACCTCATGACCCAGCCATACTACTCCTGAGCATGTATTTGAAGGACTCTTCAGTCTACTACAAAGATACCCGCACAGCCATGTGTATTGTTATAATTATTGCTCTATTCCCAAGAGCTCAGAAATGGAAACAGCCTAAGCATCCATTCACAAACAAAATGTGGTACATGTACACAATAAAACTTTATCCAGCCTTAAAGAAAACTGAAATCCTGACCTGTCGGAGGCTGTCTTTTTGGGGCTGCAGTTGGAGCTAGCTGACACGCCCATGGTTCAGACTTGAGAGGTGGAGTGTGGACTGCAGAAAAGGCTAGCTAAAGGAGTTAAGAGGAAAAGAGGGAGACACAGAATGGATGTCAGGAGGGTAGACTCAGTCAATACCGAATGCCCTGAGTTTATTTTTCACTACTCTTATATACCTTAACCAAAAAGGGGAACACAGTATTATGTATATGGAACAAACAGACTTTTCTTCCTCATTTCTCCAAGGATTCAGTAACCACACCTGAGATTCAACTTCTCCTTACCTGGCCTTGAGAGTCAGGAATAACCATACCTCAGACCAGGTCTGTTGTTATTTAGATAAGACACCCAAGGCCAAGATCCAATATCCTACAGTAGCCACACCTTTGACCTTTAGGTCTTATGACTTACTAAGACAGTTTTTGAACTCTCTACCCTTGAGCCAAGATGGAGTGGAGCCATCTTTATGGGCACCGACACTGACCTGTGTATATGAAAAGGGATAGAATTAGAAATTATTATATTAACCAAAATAAGCCAGATTGAGAGATAGTTAGCACATGTTTTCTTTCATAACTGTGTATGGGGGGGGTTAGATCCTAAAACTACAAAGGGGGTTGTCAGGGGGATCTCTAGAGAAAGGAGGGCAGAGGAGAGATTATAAAATCTATGAAGCAAGCTATGAAGCAAGCTGGTGAAACCATTTTAATATTTAACAAAATAGACTTCAAACAAAAACTAATTGGAAGAGACAAGGAACAACACTACATATACATACTCAAAGGAAAAATTCAAGATGACATTTCAATTGTTAACACCTATGCCCCAAACACAAGGGCATGCAATTTCATAAAAAATAAAAATAAAAAACACTGTTACAACTTAAATCACATATTGATCCTCACACACTAATAGTGGGAGACTTCAATACCCCAACCTCATCAATAGGCAGGTCATCCACACAAAAACTAAACAAATGCTGGAGCTAACTGGAATTCTTAACCAAATGGACCTAATAGATATTTATACATTTCACCCAAACTCAAAATAACATACCTTCTTCTATGTACCTTATGTACATTTCTCAAAAATTGATTATAGACACAAAGCAAGTCTCAACAAATAAAAGAAAATTGAAATAATTCCTTGCATCCTAATAGACCACCACAGATTAAACTATATATCAACCACAAAAACAACAAAAAGTCTACAAACTCATGGAATCTGAACACCTCTCTACCGAATGAAAAATAGGTCAAGGCAGAAATTAAGAAAGAAATTAAAGGCTTTCTAGAATTGAATGAAAATGAATACACAACATACAAAACTTATGGAACACCCTGAAAGCTGTTTCAAGAGGCAAGTTCATAGCACTAAACCCCTACGTTAAAAACAAAAAACTGGAGAAATCTTATACTAGCAATTTAACAGCACATCAAAAGTCACTAGAACAAAAAGAAGTAATCGCACCCCAAAGGAGTAGATGGCTGTAAATAGACTCCGGGCTGAAATCAATAAAATAGAAACAAAGAACAAATGAAACAAAGAGTTAGTTCTTTGAGAAAATCAACAAGATAGACAAACCTTTATCCAAACTTACTAAAAGACATAGAGAATATCCAAATTAACAAAATCAGAAATGAGAAGGGGGACATAACAGACACAAAGGGAATATAGAGGATCATAAGGATATACTTTAAAAACATATACTCCACCATTTTGGAAAATCTGAAAGAAACTGATAATTATCTTAATAGGTACTGTTGTGCCAGGTTCACGGAGCCCAAGGAGTCGACACTCTGATGCAAAAGCAAAAGATTTCTTTTTATTTCAAGCTGGCCAGCTATGATCTCACTGCATGGTGGGCAAATGAGATGCCAACCAGCCAAAAAGAGAAGCTTTTAAAGGGGCAGACCATAAAGTTGAAGGCCACAAATTACAGAATTTCCATGGTTACTTAAGGTCATACAAAGTACAGAGTTAGTAAATATACATTTTAAGAAAGATACATTTGACTGAGGTAAGACAGGGCATGTGCTTGCAGGGTTACAGAGTCAGGGGGTCTGTCAGTTATCCCCTGGGCTGGGGGATCTTTATGACCAGCAATTAGCAAAGGAATGTTAACAGGAGTGATGGACAGTTACCTTTCCTTCTCTGAGAGCAGGGGGTCAGGCGCCAGTCATGGCACTCCTGATTTAAGGAGTTAAATTTTCCTTAATCATTAGACATTCCCATTTCAGGGCCTAAGTTTTTAAACTTTTATTAATTTTAATTTTTGGTCCCTCAGTACCACTTGCCAAAATTAAATCAAGATCAAATAAGCAATTTAAACAGAACCCCTAGTACTGAGAATAATTCATTAAAATTCTCCCATCCAAAAAAAGCCCAGGGCCAGATGGTTTTAGCGCAAAATTCTACCAGATTTTCAAATAAGAATTAATACCAATACTCCTCAAATGACCCCACAAGAGGAAGAGAGATGCTTCCTTACCCCTTGCCCCTTACTCCCTGTAAAGACGAGAGAGCTGACCCTCCCTTTATAAGCTGCAGCACTCAGGAAAGCAGGCCAGCCCTGCCCTTTGCCTAGGCAGCACAGCAGAGCTGGTCTGGTGGTCTGAATTGAGGGTGACCCAGCTCCAGTGTTGTGAGCAATATTGTGAGTTGTCTCCACTACTCATCTGGGCTGGAGGAGAGATGTGTCCCCACCCCTATCGATGCCTGAGACAGGTGGAAGAGCTGGGGACCATAAGAGTGGAAGGGCTGTCCCTGCCCCCTCACCAGCTGCAGGGGAGAGTAGCTCTGCATCTCACCTCACAGTAGAGCTGCCCTGAAGGTGTAGGTGTGGCGGAGCCAACCCTGAGGGTGAGAAAGCAGAACTTGTCCCACCCCTTGCTCAATGCCGCAAGAGGTGAATGAACAGGGCAATGCTGGAGAGTTGACCCTCGTGACAAGGGCAGGGGAGAACTGGCAAAGGAACAAACCCACAGCTGCCAGGCCCAGAACCAGGATTATGACTTGGCCTGACCCAACATCCACCTCATCTATGATCTGCTGGAGCATTCGAAGGGACCTGATCCACAGACCCAATGTTTCAGGACCTTTAAACACAGGGCAACAACAGGGTATCCAAGGAGAGTCCCAGGGAGGGCCCAGCGTCAATAGTATAGTAGAAACCAAAAGCATTGGACCAATGACTCTTTGTGAAGAACACTTGCAAATGAAGATATATGGACAAAAGGGTTTACTGGGTGACTCACTGTGTCACGTGTCACACTGCAGCTTCCATAATGAGATTTAATTTTTTCTCTTAAAATTTGTTTAATTTGGGGGAGGGTGCAAAGGCATGGGGAAATTAATGGGATCATGATATAAGATGTAAAAGACACATAGAATAAATAAAAAGAAAGTGGTAAAAATTATCCCACAAAATAGAAACAGAAGGAATATTGCCCAATTCATTTTATGAGACTACAGTTACATTGATACCCAAACCACACAAAGGTTCAACAAAGAGAATTACAGACCAATTTCCCTCATGAACATTGATGCAAAAGTACTCAATAAAACTCTTTAAAACTAAATCCAAGAACACATCAAAACCATCATCCACCATGATCAAGTAGGCTTTATCCTAGAGATGTGGGGATGATTCAATACACAAAAAAATCAATAAATGTAATCCACTATATAAACAAACTAAAAGAAAAAACACACATGATCATCTCATTAAATGCAGAAAAGACCTTTGACAAAAATCTAACACCTATTCAGACGAGAGTCCTGGAGAGATTAGGGATACAAGGGACATACTTCAACATAATAAAGGCAGTTTACAGTAAGCCCATAGCCAACATCAACTTAAACAGACAGAAACTCTAAACAATTCCACTAAAATCAGGAACAAGACAAGGCTGCCCACTCTCTCCATACCTGTCCAATATAGTCTTAAAGTCTTAGCTAGAGCAATAAATAAGACAACTGAAGGAGATCAAGGGGATGCAAATGGAAATAAAGAAGTCAAAGTGTTTTTATTTGCAGATGCTATGATAGCATACATATGTGACCTTAAAAATTCCACTGGGAAACCCCTAAAGCTGATAAACACATTCAGCAAAGTAGCTGGATACAAGATTAAGTCACAGAAATCTGTAGCCCTCTTATATACAAATGGCAGACCAAGAAAGAGATCAGGAAAACACCTTTCACAATAGCCTCAAATAATCCAAACTATCTTGG